ATCATTTATCATTAAATTAGATATATTTCTCTTCTTATTATTTATTTTTATATCAGATGGGATTATTGAAAAAGTTTATAAAATTTTAATAATTTTTATTTTCAATATATTAATCGAGCTGCTTATTTTAGCTTTTTTTGTGCATCCTTAGTTATAAGTTTCATCCATTAAAATAAAGAAAATGATAGAAATAAACTATAAAATTTATGAAAAATTTTGAAATAAGATTTTTATATTGTTAGAAAAGTTTATAATATTAATTTTCTATTGAAAATATAATTTTCAAATCCTAAATCTTAAGAAACTAGCTCTTATCTATTTTAGAATAGACCATGTTATCATAAATCAAAGTAAAAAATTGAAATAATTGTAAACAAAGTGAGAAAGTTCATAAATTTGGACATTATATAATCAAATATTTTTTTTGTAAAATCAAAAATTTAGTTTAGTTTTGCAGCATAAATTTAATAGTATAACTTGAGTTTGTGATATGTAACTTGTTTAAAATGCAATTTACGGTTACATACCCTAAAATAAATTGTTTTATTTTTTAAAATTATTCTATTTTCTAATAAGAAATAAAAATGTAATAAAATTCATAAATTTTTAAACTTATCTTTACTATAAACATTACAAAATGTTGATTAAAAACTTGATGATGCTGAGAAGTTGAACTTGATCCCTCAAGTTCTTATTCTCAGCAAGAATATTAAAATAAACTTAAAAACTCTATTTATATGAAAATAAATCCTATAAAATATTCTCACTCGGCTGGAATATTATTATTAAACGTTCAATTAAAAATTTTTCGATATTAACACATTCTACAATTGTTAATCTCTTATCAATTATCAATTATTCTACATTCGATGATAGAGACGAAATTTAAAGCTTCACGATCTACCTATCATGTATCCTTTCGAATATTTTTCACTTCATATCATCATAAACTAGTAAATTATATCTATTTTTATTATTTATTAATGTGTTACAGCAAAGAATAAAACCAATTTTGGAATAATTCCTATAATGTTTTATAATATACATAACACGTGTTGTACAAGATTACTATTACTACTAAATATATTTACTTTAAAATTAAATCCATATAAGCTGTTTCCAATTATAAATAAATTTCATTAAAATTCATAAATGATTAATATTCATGAAGTCACATCTTAAAAAAAACTGGAAAATTACTTCGTCAATCAATTAATTTTTCGTATAAATTATATATTAATATTAAAATTTTGTAAAACTTTTTTTTAAATTGAAGTTTTCGACAAATTAATTTTTTATTTTTCTTATAGAAAACAAATCATTGAAAATTGCTAAACGACTTAAAAATTGATCACGTTACAATTATTTTACTTTAATTCTCATTTTTTCAAAATTAAAAATTATATATTTTATAAAAAAATAATTCAAATATATTATTAAATTTACGGTTTTAGGATTATTTATTATAATTAAGGGTCTTATCAAGGCTTTAGGCTGAAGAAAGTAAGAGTAAAAGGATGATAAAGAGGATAAGAAAGAGGAGAGAAGGTTCCAGTTTGGATACTGAGCAGCAGGGACCCGCAGAGGGGGCAAAAGAAACAAATTCCCTGGCCCCGGAAGAAGTAGGGCCCTATACAATATCGATATATAAAAAGCAGTACTGTATTTGAAAATATTTACAAAGCTAACTTAAACTTAATTTAAATATTTGTTTAAAAATGTATATATACTGTACATAAAATAAATTTTATACTTATTTATTGATGTTCAAAAACACTTTTCTACTGGGAACTAAAAAAAAATAGATATATCGATTTCATTCTTTTCCTTTCTTTCGTTTACTCCCTTTATTTAATTTAATGACCTAATTTGATGTAGGGCCCCTCGATACGTATTTCGCTTCAGGCCTTTGGGGCCCTGCTTAGTAGGGGTACACAAAAAAGTGTGAAAAGTGAATACAGTCAGTCGAACCTGTAATAACGAACACCGCCTAACAACGACCATCTATAAACAGTGGCCATTTTTTCAGGATATAAACAAAAGTGCAAACAAAATAACCTTCAAACGACGGCCATATTTTAATCTTCCCTTCAGCGACCGTTGTTCAGAGGTTTGACTGTAACTCTGTAGATTTAAAATTATTATTGATTAATAAATATTATGTTTGAAAATATAAAAATTCGACAAAACCTATGATAAATTCTATAAAAATTACTCGAATTTAATTCTACTTAGATTGAAACGAGCATTGATTTTTTTTATTTTAATATAGTTTATAACTTGAAAACATGGAGAACAATTTCCAGAAAGCTGATTATTAGAATTATTAACGTCTTTAAATTTATTAAATTTCTCTCGTAAATTATTAAATTCTAAAACTTTACATTATTGAATTTCTTAAATACCAATCATGCAATTTTAGTGTCGTAGCCCAAGAGGATTTGTGCCATTAAAAGTGGAAATATCCCTTCACTATATAAATCTTAATGATACGAAGATATATGATATAGATGAAGGGATGAGATTCTACTTACTGAATTTAGAAACTAGTAATTTAAATGACATAATAAATATTTAAAATTGTTTTTAAATTATTTCTTAAAATAAACATTTAAATAAATTATTATATGTATTTTTAAGTTTCGAATAAATATATTTATTATTATTATTATTATTGATAAGAAAATAAAGCAAACAGTTCGAAATAAGATGATAATAATGTAAGAAGCTGGAGTAATGTTAGTAGAGAAGGAAAAATGAAAATTAAAAAAATAAAATATTGAAGAACCTTTGGAAAAAATATTAAAAAAAAACACTTCAAAACGTAGAGACGGAACTGAAACTTTAATAAAAAAATCAAAAAAATTAATAAAAATGTTGATTTTAGAGAGGAATAAACCGTAAAAATCAGAAATAATTCAATTATAAATTCTTTTTTTTTTTTCGTATTTTGAATCTAAAATATATTTTAAAAAATAATGAAAAAAAAAGTTTTAATTGGTCATCATCAAAACATATATTTTTTAAATTTATAAAATAAATAATTATAATAAAGTAAGTGGCGTGACGTAAATTTAACGACAAATTTACATTTTAAAAAATTATTAAAAAATAATTTTTATATAAAAATTCCACTTCAATCCGGCATCGTATTTTCAATTTTAATAAAAACATTTTCTAGATTTTTACTTTCTTGAATAAATGCTATTGGAATCTCTTTCTAAACTTAATATAATTAATTATATATTGTAATTAATAAAAAAAAGTTATAAAACTTAACCGGATCGATAAATTTTGCAAGAAAATAAAGATTAAAATTTCTTAAACAGTATTGTTAAAGTATATTTTATCTCTAGAGAAATAAATTATACGTTGAGAAAAATACAGAAAATCTATTTTTTATACTTTTATTTTTTCGAATAATTTTTCGTAGCTTATTTCTCGGAGAGTATAACTTACATTATTCTGAAAATTAAAAATTCTAATTCTAAAAATTAGCTGAGTTTTAATTAATAAATAATATTTTGTTTAAATATTTTGTATATAAGGCAATGTTAAACATAACATCTCCATCCAAAAATTAACATATTTGGCTTGACAACATCTAAATGCATTTAGACGAATTAAGTACTTTCAGATAGAAATTTTGATTTTTGAACTTATTCCTTATTAATCTATTTTTGTTGGGTTGCAATATTTAAAAAATTGTAGACCTATAAATTTTCACGTGACTTCCGGTGTAGACCGGAAGTTACGTGGTTTCGATTCAAACATTTTTCCAAGAATAGAGTTACATAGATGACCGACACGACTCTGTTGTTATGAGGAAAAGTGTGATGTACAGGGATAAGTCACTACTGATTTGAGGTGGAAAGCATATATTTTTAATTAAATAAATTAAAATTATGATTAAAAATTGCTTTGTTTTTTTCCTCTCCGCTTTATTAGAAATTATCGTTTATATTAAGAAATTAAACAATTGATCCGACGTTATTAAATTTTAAGTTTATTATTTTAAAACTTATCACGTTCATGGGTAAAAAAAATGGCATTAAATTCAATTTAAATTTTTAATAAATTAATATAATTAATTCGTGGATTAAAGATAAAATATAAATATATTTATTTTTATAATTTTTTTTGTTGTTATACAAACATAAGTTTTGTTTGTGTAACAACAAAATACGTAAAAATATATAATATATAAAATATATGTTTATATATTTACTAGAACAATATATATTTTTTGTAATTTTTAAAAATATACTTAAATATAAAAATTTTAATAACATCGTTTTAATTTCTGAATCCATTTTTGGATTAAAATTTTGAAATTATAATTAAAAAATATTTTTAACATGAAAATAAATAACATTTTCGGGGTCATATTCGTAAAACATTAATTTAGTGTCGCCATCTCGCGACAAAGATATAAATCATTAATGTCATCTGGTCTTAATATTTATATAATTTGATTGATTATTAAATCTTAAATTATTACATTTTTTAAATTTAAATAATTGCATAGTTTTAAAAGTAGGTGTATTTATATTATATAATATAAAATATTAAATTATTTTATTGCATTATTTTTTAATTACAATTATAAACTCTAACTGTTCCTCATGGAATTAGTAGTTCAAGCCATTATAAATAAATCCAAAACAAATACTCATGAATTAAAAAAGTATGGATAAAAATACATTTTAATATAATAGGAAGTATTAAAGTAGACAGGAAGAAGAGTCGTGTGACGTAAATGTTTAACAACAGAGAGCGGAGGAAGGAAGAAAACGTCGAAGGCATTCGATAGAGATACACACAGACTGCGTCAACAGAGGATCCAATCGATATTAAAGGAATACAAAACTCCCCTTTAGTTATACAGTTAGAGGTTTACAGACCAACGCAGACCTCCCTTTGATTTCTACCATGTACAAAACCGGAAGTAGTAGTTGGGGCATGGACCACGCAGCCGCATATTGCATAGTGTAGTCAGTGGTAAGCATGACGAAAATTCCTGCTATTGGTTCGAGATGCTATACTTTAAGAAGAGGCATGCTTTTCTCTACACATCTCATCTTCGTATTGTTATTTTTGACTGTAAATTTTGGGTAAGTACAAATTTATCCTGGTTTTCTTTCTTCTTTTCTTTTTCTTTTCTTCTTCTTTTTTAAAATAATAAATTCTGTGTTGTGCACCCTTGGCGCTCACGCTCCTCCGTTGTTTTCACGCAATATAATTTCTAGTAAATGACTATTTTCTTATTAAATTACATATAAAGGAGGTTATAATAATTAACCTAGCAGCATTTAAGCTATTTAATGTTGTTGACAACATTATTAAGGATACAGTGAAAGATTTATAGAAAATGTCTCTTTATGATGGCATAAAAATAAATTTGATCATTAATTATTTATAAAGGTATTAACTTAATCTTTACGAGAAGGTAAACACATCGATTTTTGTAATGTATTAATTTCATATAAAATACGATTTAATAAATTATTAACATATTTATATTTATTATTTAATTATAATTATCATTTGGGTGAAATTAATTTTATTATTCTATTCTATCTTTAATTTTATTTAGAGAAATAGCTTTTTATTTAATTAGTTAAAAATATATTTAAATAATAATTTTATTTAAAAAATTTTAGTTGTTGTCAAGTAAATAACGAAGAACATCTTTATAATTTAACTGATACATTGAGAAAACTTCTTCATGGATACGACGTAAGATTGCGCCCTAATTTTGGAGGTAAGTTTAAAATTATTATTATTATATTGTATTTAACTGAAAAATTAATTTTTAATTTGAAAAAAAAAAATTAGCCTAAGTTGCCGAATTATTCATTAGATTCGAAATCAACAAGCTTATAAATTTGATCAGTTTGTCTTGCATTCTCCCACTCAAGTTACGTTTATTTGTATTTATTTATTTATGATTAGATGAAAATAAGAGTTTATTTATAATTAAGTAAGTGTATAATATAAATTAATTCACTTACAACTTCAAAAAATAGCATTAAAGTTGTTTTATATTTAAAAAAATACTAAGCCCTGATTTTAGTATTTTTAAGTTGTAAATAATAATGAATAAGAAATAATGCTAGGAATAGCCTTATATCACCATTTCATTCCTTACAGCAAATATTTAACTTACATTATCAGGAATACCTCCGAGATACAAAGAATTATTGACTTTAGGAACACATTCTCATACACTAGACAAAGAACCAACAGGTATTTATAAAAGAATCATGTAGTTGGGGCATATATTTTGTATTTATAGAAAGTTTACTCTCAATTTTACAAAATAAAATTTAAAAAGTAAGGCTAATAAATAAAAATACTTTTAATAATGTTAAAAAATGAGGCGCAAAACACTTTTCTAATGGTTTTATACATGTATTATTGATGTTCTTGTCTTATTCTACCTGATTTTATAAGGGATATAATGTTGCAATTAATTACCAAAATAATCGAGAGTATATACAAGTGTGAAGTCGACAAACTGGATTTTTTATAGCAACAATTTCAATTTCATTCAACTCGATGTATGACGTTATGAATTGTGATTATGCATTGTTAGTACGAAATCTTGATGGCAGAAAGAATTTACACGGATAATCGCTATATGTTATGGTTAACCTGTTGCAGAAACATACGAAGATATTTTGACAGTCTCGGAATCAATATTTCATTGGTGGTGATAAAGTTCTATCGATTTTTTTATACCGGTGGCATTCCAAAACAATATTTTCCACCCGTCCTGTGAGACACGGAAAATATTTTGCATGATTTATCTCTCGCTTTATTTTTCATACACCAGGCACCACTGTACTTCTATACATAACGCATTCGTCACTAAATAGCGTATTTTTGTATATATATATTTACATCAATGTCATTCGCATTCAGCGAAACGTTTCAGTTTTGTTTTGCATTCGGTGTGGCATTTTGTTTATAGATTCTTGATCGAAACTCCATCTCCCTTAGGTTTTACGTTATGGTAATCGGTATACTGGGATTCAAATTCATGTCCTGTTGTTTTTGAATGGAGAAAGTTTGAAAATCACTTTTGGAACACGATTTTTTTTTCGATAATCAACTGAATCATACGCTTACAAAAGTCTTTCGGATCCACAATGGGCATTTAATTCGGTAGCACTCAGCTTGATAATATTGTATATATTATAGTCCATGTATAGGGAGATAGGGCGACGTGTTGAATGATTTTACATACAATTTACATATGAACAATGTGTACTTTCACTCGCTTTAATTCTGCATTTGTAAAGTACTTTAAATAATTTACTTGGCCATTTCTACTTTATTTCTACTTTTATTGTGCTGCAACTTGAAAAAAACTGTAAACTTATAAATTCCCACTTTCGTCCGGCTGTCTATCTGTTCTTCCGTAATCTCAAGAAGGAAGTTAGATATTTGAAAGCCGAGACCAGATATGGAAAGCTTAAAATCAGGAGACCTCGATTAACTATGTATAAACGTCATGATTGCATCGAAATATGCAGGATTTTAATTCAAAATTTCCCTAGAATGGAGTTAAATAGATGACAGACATGACTCTTTTGTTATCTGGAAAAGTATGATATACAGGGGCAAGATACTACGATTTGAGATCGAGAGCATATATTTTAAATTAATTTAATTACAAACTAAACAAAAATTAAAAACTGCAGCCCTGCATTTTGACAATGTCACAATAATTTTTCCTCGTTTTGCTCATAATGTCTTTATTTTAAATTAAATTGCAAAGAAAATAACTTATTTATGATTTAATGTGTTACCTTTGCTTCAAATCTACGTCACTTTATCGTTATTCCAAACAACACTTTGATTCAGAGAAGATCAAGAATGTTACTTTCTAAATTACTTAGAAAGTAAGCACCAACGATATCATTTATATAGAACTAAAATATTTATTTTCTATAAAAATAAATAATTAAATAAATTAATAACTTTCTAAATGTCTCCTACACAAAAATAAACTCGAAATCATTAATTTTGTAAGCAAATTTAAACTGAAAAGTGTCTAATTTTATAAAATAATAGAAAATTACACGGTTTGTAATTAAGATAGAAATGCTTTAATTACTGTTTCTTATGCAATGTAAAAAACAATTTATTTTTCTTAATTTTTTAATTTAATTTCCTTTTTTTTAAATAATTGAATCAAAACATTGTAAACAAGTGTTTTATTTTCTCTATAAACGGCTTTCCATAAATTACGTAACACAGCAGATAATTCTTATAATGTGTTACAATAGGGTAGGGTGTTTATGAAAAAGTTACATAATGCTAGGGTCATTTTGTTTTCTGAAGTATTGCATAGTGAACCGTATTGTTTACGTCACTGCTTTGTATGCTATACATAAATCAATTTGATGTTCGGTACCCCGTTCTGTGAGTAATCATTAGTACAATTAAGGGAATTGGAAGAGGATATGCGTTACGTAATTACGGAGGTGGGTGTATATGACAGCGTTACGGAGCGTTACAAGAGATGAGATGATAGTTAAAATGTATAAAAATAACGTCACGTAATTTATGGACAATTCCACCTTTATCAACCGTATTTATAATTTTAGCTTCCCCTAAAAATAGAGGCCTGGACTTATATTGTGTAATTGCTTCCCTTTAACTTCTATTGCATAAAATGGATCATCATTTGTTGGAAGGTCAAAGGTCAAGGACCTGTATTATATCAAAATTTTGCAATTTTTAAAAGTTAAAATGCAGTAATCGTCTAGTCTTTATTAAAGGGGTCAAAGGTCAAAGGTGTTATATTTTATTAATTACTGTAGTTATTATCGATTGTTTGTTTCATTAATTCCTCATTTAATTATTAAANCGGGATGGACTCTTCCGTTGGCAAATTGCCCACATGTTGTGTTGCCGTATCTTAACAATTGTTTTTAAAATGAAATATAACAACGTGAATAGAATTTTCCAAGTGATGATTTAAATAAAATCTATAAAGATCCTTGCAGTTTATTCTCTAGAAAATAAACGTACTAATAATTATAATATTAATTCAGTAATTAAATGGCCAATTTCTATGATTAATGAATTATTAATTCATTCAAATGACGAAGATAAATTTTTCAGAATTTTCACAGTGATTTAATTGTAATTAATAATAAAATTTGTTGTCGTATTTTTTACATGTAACAAATTTTTAAATTTCAGCTATTATACGTATAAATCAGACAATTGATTTTGGTTTACAGGGTGATCGTAATGAAAGTACACCTATTTAGCGTGGTCTAGACAGATATTTAGAAGTTCAATTGCAACTGAATCTTCTATAATGAGGTTTAACACATACGAAGAATATTTCCACAAAAAAAATTAGTACCAAAACTCACCACTGTGGCATTTTTGGCGCTCCCAAGTTCCAAAAAAGCCGTTCCATTTGTGGGGACAGTTACAAAGTATGCTTTATCAAGGGCACATTAAAAATTTGGCCGTCTTGAAAGACAGTATCACACTGTATTTAAGAAGCATCACAGAGGAACAACTATTATCATCCTTTGAACACTACTTCAGGTTTTACATCTCCAGAACAGGATCTTCAATAGTATCGATTAAAATGAATGTTACTTGCAGCGTCAAAGGTGCCACAATGGTGATTTTTGACACTAATATTTTTACTGAAATGTCTTCCGCATGTCCTGAAATGTCACCATACCAAATTTGGTTGAATCTGGACTGTTAATTAAGGATATTTTAATTACGATCAACCAGTATTTGTAAAAAAATGATTATTTTAATTTAAACAAAGAAATTTGTTCGCTGAACTTTATTTATTTTATAAAATATTTTTCTTTCAAAAAATTAATTATTCAAAATTGTTTAAACACGTGTTTAAATTTAGCTTCTTCTTTTATTTTTTTTAAAAATACATTCGTCAAATTACCTGACATAAGTATAATTGTGTTATAAATTAATTTACATTAATCCCCAGAAAATGTTTTTAAATCATATTTTAATAAAATAAAATTACAATTACAATTATTATTGTTGTTAAAAATATAAATTTTGTCCAATAATAATAATAAGCATATGATAATATTTATTTAAATGCAATAATAACGATTTCTAAATGAATCTTACATATAATCAAAGCTACATATTATAATTATGTTTTTATATAATAAATAGAAATGTAATTTATAAAAATTGATAAAGTTATTTTCTTTATTTCCCTTTGGAAATTGTCCAAAAAATTCAATTTTCTAAAGAAATTTTTTATAATGCATTATAAAAAAAGGAAAATACGCTCAATAAACAAAATTAACATTTTAATTTTCAACATAAGATTATAATATGAAAAAATGCAATATAATATATTTTATACTAGGCTTATAAAATAAATAAAGAACTCGCTTCTGTAGATTTATAAAAAAAACCGTTTTTTCTGTTAGGAATTAATCGTGCAGAAAATAAAAACGAAATAAAGTGTAGAAAATTTTTATTTGAATTGAACATAAATGAGGTAGAAAAATCGTATAAATGCTATTCAGACTGATCTATTACTAATAAAATTTTGATCAAATTTGTAATCAATCATAATTTTGGTCTCGGTGTCGTCATCCTTTTAGAAAAAATAAAATAAAGTAAAAAAAATAGGAAAAAATAAATAATCAATTCACAGAATCCCTCATGTTACAAAAAGAAAGGAACTCCTTGAAATATTTAGGATGAACATGAGGGAACTCCTTAAAATACTTAAGATTTATTCATTTGATTGCCATAGTTCTGAATTTTTCTATCAATTATACATCGCTTCTTTACTTTTGTAATGATATAGAATAAAAATGTATGCACTATTTCGACCAAATTAACACGTATACAGTATAATAAACTCGTGTTTTGTTGTGTTTCTTAAGAAAATAACATCTTAAAATGATGTTAACGAGAAATTTAATATATTTTTATTAATAATTTTTAAATAGATTGTGAATAAAATTAACAGAACATTTGTTCTTAGTTTTTATGAAAAATTATCCGTTTACATATGTAATTTCTATAGTTCTTTTGTGTCATGTATGTAGATCTTTTATCATGTTCAGATCTATTGTCGAATTCTTTTAGTCTGACAAATTTTTTATTTTTATGTGATAATAAAATTTCTTGAAATTTTAACAACGGAAATGCATCTTCATTGATATTTTTTAATTTTTATCAAAATTTTACAAAAATCGATTTTGTTGCACATTATCTAGATTTAGTTATTATTTTAGTTGACTTCGAATGTAACAGTAACCAATGTAAGTGGTCCAAATAGTGGCATGAAAGTGAATCGTAAACTCGAGAAATCATAAAATTTCGTTTATTTGTCAGAGCAGAACTTTTATACAAATTATTTTTTTTACAATTAGGCCTATGAATTTAAAGTAGAAGGATGACGAACAACATCAGGAAGAAGACACAAGATTCAATAGGAAGATTATGGATACATCAATGTCGGTGTATCTATATCTTGTTGCATGCCATTCAAATCTTCAGAATTCATTGTATTTCACGTGTAACGATTATATACTTATTAGAAATTGGTTTATTAAAAAAAATCACAAGCAAGTAGCTGAGTGGTTAAAACCACTGAACACGGATCTTTAGTTCGACCCTCACCGCCGCATCAGTGGTTCGTTAAAGATATAAGCAAATGCCTGAGGCCCCACCAATAAGGGCCCCCAAACCAATCTTTTATAAGAAAATATTTTCCCAAAATTCTTCCGAAGAAAAATGTCTAAAGTCAACACCTAATTTAAATTCGCCTGGGCCTCATGAAGCTATTATATAACGCGCCATTACTTTGGATGGCGTGGAGTTTCCCGGGTTTTGTTTCACGTATTTATACACCTAAATAAGTGCTAGTTTTACATAGAAAAGTCCTCCCGGGAGGGACTCTTCCGTTGGCAAATTGCCCACATGTTGTGTTGCCGTATCTTAACAATTGTTTTTAAAATGAAATATAACAACGTGAATAGAATTTTCCAAGTGATGATTTAAATAAAATCTATAAAGATCCTTGCAGTTTATTCTCTAGAAAATAAACTTTGTTACATCAAATTTTGATTCAAGAAGAACAGTTTACTTATTATCTGGATGAAATATGATTTCATTAGAAAAAACAAATTGTCAGTTGAGTTTTTAAATTCTACGTCGCTTAATTTTCCGAAGAATATTGATTTAAAACAAAATATTATTTACTGTGCAAACGTAGGTGTAAACATGTTTACAAAGTTATTATCAATCTTGTTAGTAAAATGAACTGATCAGATTTACTTTGAATTTAATAAATTAAAATTTGTCAAATTTTAACTATTGCTCGCTGGTAGGGCTTCGTGAGATAACAATACTCAAGTAACTGTATCCTTCCTAAATTTAATACTAATTTCATGAAGGAACCAGATTTGGATTGAAACCTACGGATGCTACGGACTAAGTAATTAGCATTGAATTGTATGAAAAATTATTATAAATCGTTAATACTCAAATTAAAACATCCCTTATAATAAATATAGGGACTCTTCTTTAAGTGTACAGTGTACAAATATACAAAAATTACTTGATATGCTGCGATTATCACCTCCGTTCTAAACACTAGATGTAAACATCCATGTTGTGGTCTATTTGTAGCATTATGTAATGATAAATATAATGTGAAATTTAAGAATCAGTAGATTTAGATATATAGTGCGACAGAAAAAGAGAAAAGTAAACATTAAACGATTTATTTTCAAACGATTTTAAAACTATAAGGAAGAAAAATTTACCTCTTGGGCATTAAATGCTCGTGCTTTTTATCTTTTTTTAAACGAAGAATGTTGTTTAGAAGACTTGTGATGTGTTGTGTACCATTAACTAAATTAAAAATAGTGTTCGAATAGTATGCCCTTCGGTAGGATATCAATTTAATGCACACTGATCCACTTTGTGTAATGATCAAACTATGAATTAAAAATCTAATCTAATAAATTCGCCGTAAAAGACTTATTTATGTATTCAGTATCTTACAATTAGTATTTAAAACAATAAAATTTTTTTAATACAATAAAATTGAAATCAAATTTGATTTTAAAAATATTTACCATGATATCAACATAGCATTTTTACTTTTTACTCATGTTTGAGCACACAAAACAGCGTGGATAAAGGATGTACAGTACAAGATAATTATTTAATTGGGCTGCAATTTTAAAAAATTGTAGATCTACAAATTTCCACTGTCTATCCTTCCTTAATCTCGAGAACGGTGTTAGATGAAAGTCGAGACCAGATATGAAAATCTTAGCGATAGGAAACTTCTATTAACTATATACGAACTTTCAGACTAGATCGGAAGTCATGTGATTTTAATTCAAACCTTTTCCACAGAACGAAGTTACATAGATGACCGGCATGATTCTGTTGCTATTAGGAAAAGCATGATATACAGGGGCAAGCCACTACTAATTTCAGATCGAGAGCATATACAGTATTTTAAGTTAAATAAATTTTAAAAATGTGATTAAAAATCGTAGCAAATTAAAAACAATTTCTCGTTAAAAATATTTCAAATAAATAATTTTAACATTACTTTTTTATAACTTTATAGAAATTTGGATATTTTAAATAATTGATTTTTAAAATTGTTTAATTTTTTTATTTATATTTGGTGTTGGGAAAATTAATGAATAGATTGATCTTTAGTTTTATGAATATTGTGAAATCTTAAATATGTATTAACAGTTGCTACGAATATTAATAATGAACATGAAATGATTGTAATTTATTTTAAATTTCATAGGACTTCCTTTATACATTGGAATGGATTTAGTTATTGCAAGTTTTGATAGCATTTCTGAAGTGAATATGGTAAGTAACTTTAAGTCTATTGCTTAAAAATTGTAAAATTTAAGATTACAGTAGAGCATCGATTATCCGACTCAACTGGGGACTCAGGTTGGTCGGATAACCGAAAAGAAGGAAAAAAATACATTATTAGTATAGTATATTAAGATATTAGTATATCCCATGTAATTAGTTTATTAGTATATCGCTATTAACCAACTTCGCGTTGAATTTTCATCGATGTTTAGCCTAACAATTTTTTTATAAATAATAATCGTCGCTATTGTATCGTTAAAAATTATTTTTAAATTATTTTATTGCTCACGAAACAAACAACCACTCATAATTAGAAAATTAAGTCTCGTTTAAATACTGACCTCCCTTCAATGGTCGAGCCAGTATTGCCAGCTAAAACACGCAAAAATTTAACAAAAATAATATTAAAGTAGCCAAGACATAGCCAAATATTGTAGTGCCACATCACTAGCGGACATTTGAAATTTGCC